GTAGAGTTCTATTCTTTTTTAAAACATGTACTTTACTATGCTCATGAGGAATTTGAGCACTAGGATCATTGCTAAATCTAGACTAGGTTTTGATCCTCATTACTAAATTTAGACTAATACTATACAATCATATTTAAATTTGGCATATGGGCTAAAATTGGACATTTAATTTTGTGTGGCAAATTGTATTGTTTTTAAAATTTTTTATTTTATTTTCATTTTAAACCAATAAGCAATGTTCATTATATGTTTTTCAAATCCTATGTAAGTTGTGAGGATCTAATATGAATAAAAAAAAGTTTTAAAAAGTTTTTTTTTTTACAAACCAAAATTTGTTTCCATTTACTATTTTATGAATGAAATCATTAACAATTGGAGGAGCTTTTATTAGTATATAGTTTGTTAATATTGACATCAGGAAATTTTCCCCACTGTAATATTACATCCATAAATTTTAATATGTAAAGTTATAATAATTGCATAAAAAATTATGTAACACTCAATGTAATAATTGCATAATTTTTGTATGATTTTTGCATAATATTATGGTCCTGCCATAAACTTATGTAAATAGTGTAATAATTATGTAAATCCACATCAGAAAAAATTTCCTGATGAATTATATAAATCATATTAATTTAAAGGTAAATTAATAATTTATTTTAATGTTGAAATTTATTATATATATTTTTTCTAACATGAAATGAGTATTCCTCTATTATTCAATGATATAGCTATTTAATTATAAGCAACACAGACAAAACAAGATGAATAGACAAATAATTAGATCATTTATGATTTTATAGATAGCTTTAATATTTGCATTTTAATTAGCATTAAAATTGATTAAATAGATTTTGGTTCATATTCAAACATGACGAATTTCAAAACTGCAGAATGATATGCACACAGCTTTGCCTACATGAAAAAAAGGACAGGAAAGTTGATCTCATTTAACATGATACATGCAGACTTCCTTGACCCTGTCATGGAAAAAACATTATCCAATTTGGTCATGAAGTGTATGACAATTGGATGAGCCTTTTATTATTAGTTTGCTAATTATATATAACTAAAGGTAAATAAGAATCTATTTAGTGCTGAAATTTGTTATATTGCTATATTAATTATAACACAAACTGAGTAGATATATTATTATTCTGCATATAATTAGATATTTAGAAGTAACAGTCAGTGTGCAAATCCTTTCTCTTTTTTTTAATTAGTGCGTGTAACATTCGCTTGAATGCCAAAAATTTCTTTTAACATTTATAACACATAAACTTCTTAATAGATTAAAAAAATGATATATATAAAAAATTTTCTTGAAGTTTCAATAAATATTTTGGCATCTTTTATTTAAAATAAAGCTGCTTTTTGAACTCATAATAGTGGGTCAAAATTATACATGATATGGTAAT